AAGAGTCACGGATCCTAATTCAGGGAGAAATGAGCTGATGATCATTGCAACTGGTCAGATCTCTTCAATATAGAGAAATTGTTCTGTCATCATTGTACAGCTCTGTTCTAGCACCATTTCAATCTGAACAGTATTCTATCCCCAATATTGATAATAACAACATTATGAGTGACCTCCAGAACGTTTGGTCTTTTGTTTCTAAGTCGTCGCTGAAAGATCATGTTCAATATATAAAAAGATATCTGATCATTTGGCACAACTCCTGAAAACAACAGTGTGACTGAGCGTTAAATCGACAGATTCTTCAATGGAGTTTGGTGTCAGGAAGATATTTACACCATATGTTTATAACCTGGTGATGTGTGTTTCACCTGAACATTCAGCACAACCTGTAACTAAGCTCTGAGTGTGAGGTCTCACCCTGGAGGATGGGTGGCAGACAGTTTTGCTGGACCGGAGTGGGTTTGTCGATTCCCAGCTGTTGACACTGTTTAATGAGCCACTCTGAGAGTCCCAGCGACGAGAAGTCCGCCATGTCTGTTGTATCTCGTCCCCACGACCTCGGAGAAAACCTCTGTGGAAAATATTTGAGATAAACAACAACGAGAAACACTATTTAAACCATCCTCGTGTGTTGCATCAACAGTCGCAGCTTTATCTCGTCATCAATGCGACGTCTCTGTCTTCTTCCGCAAGTGGGGGCAGCGTGGCGGTGCGCGCTGTTGCCCCCTGCTGGTCAAACTAATCCCTCGGATGCTGTGATGACTAAAACAGAAAATGATCCCAGCTCCTCCCCCACAGTGTTAATGACATTTACATTATAATGACATTTATATTCATATATTATAATCATCAATATGTTGTAATTTCATCCAAATAATAATAATAGTATTAATAAGCTGGAGACCCCTATTAACAACCCTGCAGTGGTTGGATGTAACAAAGTACATGTACTTTATAACTGTGGTTAAGTACATTTTTCGTGTATCTGTACTTTGCTTGAGTTAGTTAATTATTATTATTATTATTATTATTATTATATATACTTTTCACTTCTACTCATTAGCAAATATCTGTACTTTCTACTATTTTCTTTTTACAATTCGTTGTGTTGCATTCTCACATTGTTTTTAAAGTATTGTTTTAAAAGTAAAAGTACTTAAGTCATCAATAAAGATACGATAAGAAAATATTTTATTAGTCCCACAATGGGGGAATTTGCAATATTACAGCAGCAAAGGTCAAAAACAGGCATCAGAAAAACACAGAATAGAGTTTGCACAGGGTGAGAATATTGCAGTGAATGGATTGCACATGAACCACTGCACTGCTCAGAGTGAGTATTGCACAGTTGAGAGTTAACGGTGCCTGTACTTCTACTGGGAGTCGAGCTGCTGCACAGTCTTACTGCTGCAGGAGGGAACGACATGCGATTCCTCTCCTTCTGACACTTAGGGTGAATCAGTGCTGTGATGGTGTCCTGCAGGGGGCGGGGACTGGTTGTCCATCACAGGTGACAGCTTCACCATCATCCTCCTCTGTCCCACCACCTCCACATAAACAGAGGAGAACTGGTTCATTGATCCAATCAGAGCGGTGAGGTAACATCACACTCTGCCTGCTGCAGCAGCAACAATGCAATAGCATCATCTGCAGAATTCTCTGTCAACATGACAGAGTCTGTTATTCGTGTATCAAACAGAATATAGGTACAGTTCATGATGTAGTAGTTGCGTTGGGGAATAATGTCTTACGTTAAGTTTATTTAAAGACAAGTACTTATATACTTTTACTCATGTAGACAACTTCACATGGTACTTTTGCTTTGATTCAGTGCAGTTTTGTCTATTTATTTGTACTTTATTTCAGTAAAATCCTTGAGTACTTCCACTGCAACCCTACCAACAACATGTCCCTGTGCATTGTGCTGTGCATTAACAGATTATTCACAGTGAGTACAGCATGAACTTCAATAAAGAAGCTATTAAATCAAGGGTCCCTTTATAGGACGTGGCTCCGGGTCAGGCAACGATACAGGATCTTAAGGATCTTGTCATATTTAAAATTTAGCTGAGATTAGAATCAAATTCTTTATCTTCACAAACACATTTTGAAAGAATCGAATGACCGCAGACCATCCGCTCACTGGGGCTTTTGGGAAACGTTCCAGCTTTGCCCTGTTGATAATCCAGCCTTGTTCAGAGCTAATAGGTCCCATGATGTAATGTCCGACACCCGCATGAAAACAACAGTTTATGTCTCTGCAGCAGGCTTCCTCTGAATCTGCTGATCTGGCTTTGTTTACTCCCGTCAGTGCTGCAGCAGTAAAAAAAAAAACAAATAAAAGATTATTTTGCAGCCAAATTATCATAAAGTTCTCCCAGGATCACAAGCTCCATCCTGGAACCTGCTCAACCCACGTATCAGCTCCTTATATCTGCACATCAGTCTGTTTTATAACCTGTTACAGCTTCACCTTCACTCATAGATCTGTGAAAAATATTACATGTCACTGCTCAGGTTTTTATTTGCTCACGCCAACTAAGTTTAATGATGATTCTCCTTTGGGGCCAAATGGATGAGATGACAAGTTGCGCAAACTCGAGATGAATTTGAAATAACTTGACAATATTGAATTCGTTCTTTCTCGGGTTCTGTTTATGAACAGCTCTTACATCAAGTCATGGAAAACAGTTTTTACTATAAAATGATCTTTCAGCTTTGATAGAGATGGTCTGATGATCTGTCTCATTATGGAGAGATTGATGATGAAGAACGACACAGTTGCAAATCACTAGAAACACAATTCAGATGTTCTTCATGTTGTTCTCTTTGTGATTAATGAGCAACCACAAATCATATATCTTTTTTTTTTATCCTCTCATAATTTCAGGCCCAGAAATCCCTTTGTTAAAGCAGCCTGTAATTGTTCCACGTGAAACCAGCCTGAAAATGTCAGTGAGTTTTATTCGACATTTATCAGAAGCGGGCTGATGTGCTCTGTGGTGGATTTACAGCCTCCTCTACGTCCCCAGCTGGTCGGAGGATTTAAGCCTTTCACTGAAACCGTGGAGCTCTTACGGGGCTTTGTGCTTTCTGCTCCTCCGGTTGAGCTGAAATTACTGAGGCTGAAGCATCTTCTGATTTTAAACGCGTCTCAGAGGGAAGTTTGTTTCTTCTGTTAAAAAACAACTAATGGATGCCAAGCAATGACTCACGGATGAGCACTGAATAAGTAATTCATGATGATACCATGGTAACACCACTATCCCCTTATTTTCTTTTTTATTAAACCACTCAACCGGGCTCCGAGCACTTTCTGCATTGAACGAGAATGAAAATCAATAAGAAAAGACTTGAATGTCTCTTTTTATTTTATCCAAACGTCATAGCAAAAGGATCAAAGGACAAAATCCATGTCCTTCATTTTATGTCGAGCTGCTCCACTTTAAACTTGAATATTGTGTACAGATACATCTGCCTGTTTTTTAGTTATCACTGATTTAGTTATTCTCTATAGTTTTCTCTCTGTCTTTGTCCCACCTGCCACAGCGAGCGTGGAGAGCTGAATCAGCCACAGCCCGACCGGTGAAGACTCCATGAGGACCCATCTGTGACTACACACTGAGCTGCCAGAGGTGGTTAACGGCCTGCGTGTTAGAGGCCTGGAGGTTCAGCATCGCCCCTGTTCAGGCCTCAAACTGCCTCTGACCGGCTGAGGAGTGTCTCTGCACATGAGCACGAGGGTTGTTTGCATGTTAGGCAGAGATGCTGCCTGCTGCCTCCCCGCAGCACATGGAGCAGCTGCATCTCTGTAACAGGCCACTGAGCAGCATCATCACTGAGCTGCTCCTCTTCACTCTTCCACCACATTTGACGCTCTGTCCTCAGCCCACACTTGTGCAGATAAGTGATTTGTTCTAAATCTGTGTTGACACCAAATCACGGCCTGTTAATGAGGTGAGGAGCAGCTCTTTCTCTCCAAACATGATGGCAATGTGATATTCACCAGTTTTATAAGGGAAGTCTGTGAAGCTTGAACAAGGAAAAATAAGTGGTTGAAATATATTTTTCTTTTTTAACCAATTAGTAACTCCATGAAAGTTTTACACTTTCTAAAACCTTTATCAGCTGCTTTAACATCATTAAAAATCTGAATCCTACACTTCTGTCTTATTAAATGCATTCATTTATATTGCTGAGTTCACTGCAGTATTCAAAATGAATCAAAAACCTAAATAAAATATACAATGATGTTATAAGTTTAATATTTTCAGTGTGTATGTATAAATTATTATGTAACTGACACACATATCAGAACAAGTTTCATATTTGATTGATTAAAGAGCTAATCAATGCCTTACTCAATATTTTAGACACAGTATTTAAAGAGTATCTTTCAGTATCAGTTGTATTAAGTGAACACAGTTATTTGATGACATGGCCATTCTTTGAAATATGTCCTGATGAATAAAGGTATTGGGGATATATATCCCTGTCATATATATAGTAGAGTATAGGAATATTTAGCTCGATGGTATTTTTACAATCGGATTTCCCCCTGCCCATCATCAGGATGATATTTAGATTTAGATTTAGATTCACAGTGTTTGATAGGATTGTCATACAGCTCTTTATAAACAGCTTTATTCTCAACATCATCTGATTTAATGTGAGATCAACAGCCAGCGGGATGGTTTTTGCTCATCTGACTGAAGCTTTGCTGTAAACAGCCATTTGGCTCCTGTTCCTCCACACGTCATTTCAGATCTTTCAAGCTTTTATTACGCTCTACCTCATAAATACGCACCGAGGGGGCTTTTAAAAACGGCCCGCAGGCCATTTCCCCATATTACATTTCACATGTTGACATTTCACTGGAGAAGTGTGGAACAGGATGAGAGGGCTTGCTGGTTTGTAGTGTTGTGGTTTGACCGTTAGGTGGCGCGGAAGAGGCTCCGTGGTGCGGCTGTTATTGGCTGAATGGGATCCCAGTGTGATCTGGCACAGAGGGGGGGAGCAGGGGAACATAGCACAAGTCCTGGGGGCGGTTTGAGCTGAAAGTATTCCACCGCCCGACTTCCATCGACATTCCTCCGTGTGTGCGGCCCACAGAGCGGAGCCAAGGCGGGTTTACGGTGCGTAATTACGCACGGGTACACGACGGATCCGCGCTGTTGCCGGCTGTGGACACCGGCGGACAAAGGGAAGAAGGCGAGCGGGCTGGAGTACAACAACTGACTTGAGAGGAGGAGTACTGCTGGAGGGGGGACGAGGGGATCTGGAGTCGGAAGTGATTTCTCTTCTTTGTTTCTTCATAAATGCAACTTACGCTTCAGGATCTCAGATGAGAAAATAATCGAGTTTGGAGACGCAGAGGAAAACGGACGGAAAGAGTTCGTGAGTGGAATCTTTCCCTTAAACCAGCATCCAGGTCCTCGGAGCATGGGGTAAGTTCTGTGACATGCGTCTGGAAGTGATTTGCTCAAATGACAACATGCGAGGAAAGTGAACTTTGTGCTGATTTGCGTGTTTTTTCTGGACGTCTGATCCTTTAAAAATCGCATTTTTATTTCCTTTTACAGCGTTTTGGAGGAATCGATCAGTTCACATGTGACACTGCGTTTGCTTTCTGTCCATTTCTCATGTCATCGAGACAAAACCCTCGATTACTGAAGCGTTGAGTCAGTTTAATGACAAGTCTGATGTTCATTCACACCTGAGTCACAGCTGTGAACCACAGAAGGTCGAATCCACACGGGGACACATCCCAGCTGCTTTAAACTGAGCTGCACAGAGACGAGTTGTTTAAAACTGCTCGTGGTATTTCCATGGTCATGTGATGACACACACACACACACACACACACACACACACACACACACACACACACTCTCTCTCTCTCTCTCTCTCTTTCTCTTTTTCTCACAGAGGTCACTCATGCATCACTCAGTTATTGTGATTTCCTGTTTTCTTCTCTCTCCTCTGCTTTTTGCATCACACACACACACGCATCACACACACACACACAGAGAGAGAGAGACAGACAGAGAGAGAGACAGAAACAGGAGCAAGGAGCTTGGACCACTTCCAGGCTGATTTCACTTTACAGGATTCTGAGTGGTTTTGCTCTTGGTATCCCATTGTGCTCAGTCTCTTTACCTGTGTGTCAATGTGTGTGTGTGTGTGTGTGTTGAATGATGCATGAGGACATTGCTTTCAGCTCAAACACACCTGAACGCTCCTCACATTTCCAGATTCCTGGCTTTCAGCCTCGTCCCTCTGGGGTCAGTTTAGTGACATTTAAATGGAGCTGCTTCTCAAATAAGTGTAAGAGCACCATGTGTGAGTGTTGTACTGGTATGTCTTTTTAATGGAAGTCCAGTCCACCTTTGTCACATCCTCAAAGTGACATTTTCACTGCAGTTCAATTTGAAAAATGCCACAATATACAGTTAGCAATCAGGAGTTATCATGTTTTAATGCAGACCTTAGCTGCAAAATGTGGTTTCATTGTGATCTAATAGAGAATTTGGGATGTCACAGTTCTTCAGACCAGTGCAGTAAGAAGTGCACAGTGATGCTGCATGATGTTGGTGCCCACCTGTTTACCCCAAATTGCTGCAGCAGCTGCATCAGAAATCCAGCCGGCTCTGTCTCCCAGTTTAGCTCTATATTCTAATTGAGGGGAAGTTGAAGACAAACTTTTTGAGAGGTGACAACACACGACTCTTGAGCACCTGAGCACCCAACTCTCACATTTCTGAATAAATGTCTATTTGATCTTGGTCACTTGAAAATGTGCACCACCTGTGTCCTGTACTCCACGAGTATGCAGACGGTTTGAGACAAATCCCAAAGAAAGAGTCGTGCAATATGTAAATGAGGATGTGACAGACCTCATTATATCACCTCAGTCACTGTGCTAGAAAGGGAAAACTCCAGGATCCTTTCATATGATGTCAGTTGCTCAGCAGCACGTGTGTCGACCTGTTGTGCAACATCTGCAGGAGCAGGAACACTTACAGTCTGACAGGAGGCCTGAGACAAACAACTGCTGTGTTTCGATGTCAGGTTTGATGTCTCTATACTGTCAGTATATCTGTATCACTGCATGCGTCATCGAGGCAGCAGAGTACAATCACCTTGTCCAAATAAAAATCTGAAAAGGAGCTTGATTTAGCTGCTGGGCCACTCAGTCTGCACAGTCAGACAGGAACCAGTGCTGGAAGACAGAGACGCCCTGCAGCTCCTCTACCCTCCTGACTGAAGTGAACACCAGCAGGAGAAGAGTCTTGATTAACAGCCCCTTCAAGTCCATAAACCAAATATATGTTCGGTGCACAGGTGCACGTACGTCTTGTCTCTAAGTGTTCATCCACCTCGTCTGAGCTCCTGTAAGTCTGAGTGCACACTGAAAACAAAATTCACTCTTGATAAAATGGGAATCCTTAGTTTTCCTGTAACAAGCTGCTGAAAAAACATAATGAAGTTTCAGCGTAGCTTCCATTATTTACAACATAATTTCGTTTTTACTATTTATCCACTTTAAAGAGGCACATTATGATCATGTTCTATTGCATAATTTAAATTTGGTTAGGTTGGTAGGTATTAGGTTTTCATCCTCTAATGAAGAATTTATTGCTGAAGCTCCTCTTTTCAGCCTCGGTCTGAAACTCTTGGTTTTAGCTCCTGTCTCTTTAAGACAACCCAGTCTGCTCCGATTGGTCTGATTTGAAGGAAATGTCCGCTCTCGCTTCTTTGGGTTTTGTTAGGGGAGTGTTCCAGACTAGCTGCTAGCTGTGTATCATGCTAATGTGAGGATTGTGACATCACAACTCCCTGAAATATTGGCCTGAGTACTGACGATGGCTGTTTAAACTTTTACATAAAAACATTAACACGTTAGAGAAAAGAGAAAAACTGGAGAAACACCACATGTCTCCTTTAAGTTGTGTATTGATCAGAAAACACATTCAAAGTGGCTGGTTGGACTGGACTGAGGGAACCTTGTGGAGTATGTGGGTCGACAGAGTGAGTGTGAGGAAGTTTAAATTATTGATGCTGTGATTTCAGTGTTATTTTTTGGTGTTTTAAGTTGAACTGACCTAATTTTATGTGTATTTTGTTTGAGAAATGAAGGTCATCAAAGTGTTACTGTGATTCAGTGCTTACCTGAAATAAACTGGTTTGGTTTTCACTAGAGCCCGACCCATATGGATGTTTGGGGGTCAATGCAAAGGCCAATATTAGAGTGTAAAATCTTTTGGACACTGATACATGGATTAAAAGAAAATTTGGCAATTATTCCTAAGCTTTTGTTTTCCCTTGTAATAGGGGTTTGATATTTTACTGAAAACAAACAAGCAAACACAGAATTTGAATTAAGAAAATAAACCATTTTTCTTTTCTGCAATGTTTATTCTGTAAAGTAAATATTGACAAACATAAACACAGACAGCTGTATGTCTGTGAAAGCCTCGTATTGACAGATAAATCGGTCAGGCTCTAGTTTTTACAAACCTGAGTGAGTGTTAAGTCTGTGCTGTGCAGCTCCGCAGGTACATTGTTCCACTTTGTAACTGGAAACCTCTTTCCTCTCGTCCTGCTGCAGAGGAGTTGTCTTCGAGCTGTAAAATGTACCCGCTACACCGAGAGAGGTACAAACAAACTGTCGTCGCCTCTGTGTCGTGGCTCTGCATGGCCGGGATGGGCGATAACTGCAAGTTCAGATTTTTGATCTCCTACCGAGTATTGATACCTGTGTCTCTCATCACAGACATCTGCTGAAATACCAGCAACGTCTGCTGTGTTTATTCATAATTAAAGAGTTAGTTTCATGGATCTGATGTCCCTCAGCTAAAATTACAAGACACACGTAAAACCTACTGAATATTAATGATGGAATCCCTGTTAAATTTCAATCAGGGCAGCTTTTAATGAAAAGTCAACATTATAAGGTGAAACTGAGAAAGTTGTTTGCTTCTCGAAAACACAAAGCAAAGATCGATAGTTTGGGGATCAATGCGCCCATCCCTACCTCATCAGTCATTTATTCTGAACAGAATCCACCTTCATCACGTGCCCATGATGTTTATCCTCCCTCAGTATCTGTTGAATTGACATTTCACTGTGAGATCTGAGTGGAGGTTTCATGCTTTTCATGATGTGCAGATGCTGTCGGCATGATCTCCTCTTACTGTCGCCGTCTTCTTCATCATACGTCGTCCTGTCAGTCGCTGCAGCTCAACTTTTCAACACATCTCTGGTTTGTTTATACTGTGCATCATCTTCGTGGATCATCTTTTATGTCAAACCTCAGTGTTCAACGGAACCACTCGGCTGTCAAGCATGTGCTGTCGAGTTTCCACTTTGTGCTGTGAAATTCATCTTTTAAGCCACTCAGGGTTTGAAGCTCAAATGACGGAGTATCACAAAAACTCAAAGAGCCCTGAGCATACTTCATTCACGTTTCTGTCTGACTGATGATTGGTCGACTGAACAAGCTGCTGTCGCACGTTGACTGAGAAATACAATAGTGGTGAGGAGTTAGTGAGAGGAGCTGAAGTCTGTCAAAAAGTGCCCAGATTTTTGAGCTAATGATTAATCAGCAGACAGAAAATCTTCCTAATTATTGATAATCAGCAATCAGATCTTAGCTTCTCAAATGTGCTTTTCTTTATAATATATGATTTAAAGTGGATATATTTGGGTTCTGGACTGTTAATTTAATAAAATGTGCTGTTGGCTAAATTATTAAAATAGAGAAAATACTTGCAGATGATTAACAGATGTAGATTTGTTTTGTTGTTTGATGGGAATTCCCAGCGTTGTTAAAATTATGAGAAATATTTGTGTAAAGACTTCGACACGACAAAGTAAACTATAGAGCACAATATGAAACAATAGTCATACAATATCATCATATTGTACAGCTGTAGTTAGTTTTAGAAGAATCATTATCATGTAATATTTCTGTAGAAACATCTAAAAGAGATTAATCCTCATATCACTGCAAAACAGACGTCACACATACGTTTATACACGATCCTGTTCAGCATCTCATCGTCCCACAGAAGGAGAAAGTGGCTGCTCTCCGAGTGGAAGAGCTTTTTAGTAGCTGGTATGGAGAGAGATCTGCAACAGTAAACACTCTTCTCTCTTTGTATTCACTTCATTTCACTGCGTTTTATTGGCATGAAAGTGAATTACGGTGCCGCCGGAGGATTGAGTTGACAGACCCCTCCCCATATCTGTCTGACCTCCATATCCTGAATACAGAAAACACTCTCTGTGCTCCGCGTCACCTTCACAAATGTGAGAGCGCAGTGACTTACCAGTCCGACTCCTGCAAGAGGAGGCGACCTTCAGATAACTGAAGTGCTGTGCTGTCATCCAACACGACCACAGCTCACATTTCAGGCGTGTTTTGCCAGTGAAATGCTTGTGTTGCTATAACGTGGAGTGAATTCTTAGGAAGCGGAGACCTGGAGAGATTCTTGGTGAGATGGTTGACGTCTTTTGATCAGAAAGGCGTCAAACCGACAATCATAACAACTCCAGAGGTTTCCCCACTTTATGCAAGTCGGTGTATGCAGCATGTTTGTTCTGCAGAGATATGGTGACTTGTTGAGCTGCTACACTGTGAGCTAGCGTTTCCCCTTGCTGTGCTATTTTGGTGTGTAGTTGTAGTGTGTCATGTTGCCAGACTGTGGGCAACACACTTTCGCTGGTCCGGGAATGTGGACGCGAGGCCGCTGGAGGTCAGAGGAAGCAGACGCATAAAGGAGGAACAGTATCAGATGAACAAAGAGAAGCCGACAAAAAGAAACGCAGAAAGCTTCCCCCCCCCCCCATCTCTGCAAAGCCTGTGAGGTCCCTGGAGGCTGTGAAACCACAGTAGAGATTCAGCTGTGTGTTGTGTTAATGCACAGATGGTGAAAAACGATGCTCTGCTGAAGCACTCAGCTGACGCTTTCATTTACACTGACTTCTACTGCATTCAGATGGAGGCAGGAACCAGGACAATCGCAGGGTTGTGGGTCATCACTTGTTATTCAACCTGACAGACTGAATATCTGGATATTTGTATCATTTGATTAAATCTCCTCTTTCATCTCCAGTGTAACAATACCACAAAGCTGACAGGTCATTTAAATGGCAGCTACACGTTTGTCTTAAAGGTGCAGTGTGTAGAATTAAGTGACATCTAGTGGTGAAGTTGCATTATGCAGCTGAATACCCCTCAGCTTCCCCTCCCTTTCCAAACATGAAAAAGAACCTTCGGAAACCTTTAGTTGTCATAAAACTTTAGTTTAGTTTGTCCAGTCTGGGCTACTGTAAAAAACATGGCGGGCTCCATAGAGAGGACCCGCTCCTGATGTAAATATAAAGTATTTAAATGTTAAGGCCCATTCTAGGGTAAAGAAAACAAAAATTATTACAATTTAGATGAAACATACGAGTGAAAACATCTCTAGGATTATTTTGTTCCCTTACACATAAATCTCACAAACTAAAACTTTTAAAACAACATGTGGTCTCCTGTTATTCTGGCTGTGTAGAGATTCCGTCATAATGTAAATAATGATGTGCTTGTTCAGTGTAAAACCCAAAAACTACTGGGCACATTACCACAAAACTTAGTGGAGGGGCGCTGCATTGGCCGGGGAAGAACCCTTTAAACTTTGGTGCGTTTCTGGATAGGGAGGGCAGATCCAGGATTTTTTTCTTTTTTAACTTTTTAACTAACTCAATTTCATTGATTTCTCAGAGAATAATTCATGGCAAAATATCAGACGTGTTGAGGGGACTGATTTATGAGTGGGAACAAACATCAATCTAGTGAATTTAAACGTGGTTTAATAAGTTGACTGTTCGGCCTTGGTGTAGGTTGTTTGCTCTACTGAGTGTCAGTCTTCTCTCTCTTTGTGTTTCTATCCACCGTCATCATGGAAACAAGGTCTGTGGTCAAAAGAAAAGAGGAACCAAAAGACATAACTGAAAAAAACTCTTATACGATCAGCCTGACTAAAGCTTCATGTTATTATAGATTATGAGACATCCTCTGAATTTAGGGTCTTAGAATAAAGGGTGTTGTTGACAGATTGTAAAGTCTGTTGATATCATGCTTTGGTGTATAAATAAAACCATTTTGATTTTGTGTCCTTGGCCCAAAAGAAATGTTGGTATTTATTAAGAAAGTTGAAGAATGAGATAAGAGAGAAACAGCAACGGGATCCTCAGATGTGTGTAAGTTCATTTACATACATGTTTCATGCTCTCGCTCTGACCTTTACTGAACCTCTTTGTCATCAGGCCTCTCGCTGGCTCTCTGATTTGCCATTTCAAGTGTGAGACGCTGGATTTTGATTTGAGCCAATAGGATTTTAGGCGGTGGGGTTTACGGCTTACCCCATCCACAGGCTATTTACAGCCCACAGAGCTCATAGGCTCCATTTCTGGCAGTTTGAAGAATATTTTCTCTTCTGCGGAAGCAGTCGGTCGTGTATGACTGCGAGGCCAGACAGGAGGGGGCAGCTTCTGTTTCACAGATCAGGGATTCTGGGTGGTGAACGGGTGCTGAGGTGAAGAAGAGAGATGAAGGCAACAACGAGAGAGGATTAAAAAGTGATGACTTGGGGAAAAGACACACAATGCAACCATGGTGTGCATCAGTGTGTGTGTGTGTTTGTTTGAAGGTGGTGAGACACTGAATATATAAGTAAATATCCTACACTGAAAGCCCCTGAGCATTTCCCTTAATGTTTATGGTTGTAATTTAAAACCACTGTGAATAATTAAAATCTCCTACATTAATGGCAAAATCACCATCATCATCATCTTGTCTGCACAACCCCAGTAATAATAAACTTAGAATAGTAATAAACTTGTAAATTATTTAGCACTTTTCTTAACAATGTGACCAAGTGCTTTACAGGGAGGAAACAATGAAAATAAAACAATAGAAAATGTGCAGAGAAAATAAAACAATAGAATTAGATAGAGTTAAATCAATAAATAATTATGTTTAGTCTGGGTCAATGAGAACCCACCGAATTACAAAGAAAAGTTTCAGTGTTTTATTATTAAGGTTTCAGAATAAGTTAAAAATTAGATAAAACACGCAATGAAGAGTTGAAAGTTAAATTACATCTTTAGTATCTTTAGATATTGTAATAATATAATGACCATTTATTATTTTGGCCACAATAATCATTTAGTGAAAATAGTGTTAGTTGTAAAATCTCCAGAAAGGAGAATAGTTCTGCATGAAACTTCATTCGTTGCTAAGATCTGTCTCCAACGATGGAAAGTAACACGTTCAGCACGTTCAGCTGCAGAGAAAACTTACAGTCAGTGAAGCCCCTTTAAAGACTCTTTCAGTTTCTTCACCTTGTATTTAACTAATTGATCAATTAAAATGTGGGAACCGCGGAGAGGAAAGTATCATCTCTTTACTTTAAGTGTCTAAAATCTTTGATGTGTGTATGATTTGCTGTCGGACATGAGGACTGAGGGCTTTATGCTGCAGCACCTCGCACTGTGTGGGGGTTTAAAGTGGCACTTTTGGTGCTGATTTTATCCGTCAAAGAGTCACTGTGCTGTGAAATTGCTCTCAGTCTCACTTCAGCCCTTTTATACACTTTATGAAACTCTG